AATTTTAAAGCAGAAGGGTCAACACATACAATTATTACCTCAAAGCACTTCTGCTTCACTTACGATGCCCCTTCAGAGAAGGAGAAGAACCAACCAGAAGCAGTCAGAGAAACTAAGGAAAACAAACATGAAAATCCTCAGCAGAGCTGTTGGGGGCCACACAGTGTCAGGGGCAAATAGCCGTGCGGTCCTCAAGTCCCCAGAGGGTGTGCTGAGTGACGGCCCAGCGCAGTAACTGCTGGCAAGAATGAAGGCCGGTGAGTCATTCAGAGAAGGTTCAATAACCTCTGTTTTAGAGTACAAAAACATGTTTTCTATTTTAGAAAACTTTCCATACACTGTGTTTTATCTTTTTAATTTTGGCACTCAAAATTCTGCTTTCTAGAAAATTCATGTCAAAGAACTAAATGATTTAGAACTGTACCTAGATTTTCCCAGCAAAGCTCTGATTAAAATTCTTATGGTGAGGAATTAAGGAGCACACACTTTTTCTTTTCTGTCTTCTTTCTTTTTGGAGCTACCATCTGAAGAAAACTGGGGATACTCCAGGTGTGGAACATGCACCTCGCTAGCTTCCTTCTGCGGACACCTGACATCATCCTAAGACAGGGCTTCTGTCTGCCTGCTGTAATCGACTTTGTGGGTTGTGGGAGTGAGTAAACTGGGGCAGAGGGCCTCAGGGAAGGATGGGATTTGTGAAAATTTCCTTGGAATGGCAGAATTCTTGCCCCAGATGTCAAAGAGTAGCTATGCTGATTCCAGTGGGCCGAGGGAGTGGTGCGCTGCGAAGCTCCCTTACCTCGATTGTGTTGCAAGAGCACAATAGTGGGATTGACAATTGTCGTGGAGGGGTAGGCAGATGTTGGCTTGCTAACTGGTGCAAAGGTTTGGGAATCAGTTCCAACATGGGATGAAGAAACTTCATTTAGTAGAGGACTTGAATCCTGAAAAGAAAACAAATGTTGTAACTAACTATAAATACGTGAAACCTAGAGTTAATGCTTTTTAAAAAGAAGAAATTTAAGGCTTTACAAGGACCTTAATTATAAAAAGAAATGGCATCAATGAGACATATCATTAAATCCAGTTAGAAGTTTAATCTGGAATGCTTATGGTCTTTGTTGGTATTAGTAAGGGGAGAGAGGGAAGGTGAATGATACTGAAAGTCTCAGCAACATCATTCATTATTTTCACCTGGTAATAACTGTGGATCAACCTGGTTACTGAAAAAGCAAATTCAAATCAAAGTAGACTAACATGCAAAATTCATGCAATTCCAAATGCGATCCAAGAATGAGAGCTGGTTTAATTGGGAAAAATCAGGAAAGTTTAGTACACTTGTTTAAAGAAACATGAGACAATGTGAGAACAAGAAGCCATGATGTAAGAACAGGGAAGAGCTAAATATTGATACTCTCGGAAAGCTACTCCTATCATCTGCATCACTGAACAACCTCGCTAGCGCTTGCTTCTGAGATGTGGATATTATCCTGTCCTACTGTGACCTCTTTTCACTCCAATATTGAGGGACAAAGATCTATGAAGTAAAACTTGTGAAAATCCCAACTTCAAAAACCTGAAGACTCTGCCAGAAATACCAAAAAAATTATTACTACCAACATTATAATCTGTATGATGGGAATAATGCCAGCCTTCCTAAAGACGTGAAAATAAGACCTCGAAATGTAGTAAGGATATGTAGATAGTTTCCTCTATTACGGCTATAAATTTTACAAAGCCAGAATATCATTCTTAAAGAGTTTGAAGAATAAGACTTTGATAGTTACTCTCCAGATAAAAGTATGATTCAAAGCAATTAGTATGCTCCATCAGGGATCAACTGCTCTGTAAGCACCTGCAGGACAAGGGCTATGCCTCTCTTCCTCCTTTCCCCTTGCACCTGCACAATGCCCTGCAGACAGCAGGCTCAGTAAATGCCACATAAATGGCAGGAGCCATCTACCACCAAAGGTGTTTCTGAACAACTTTTGTAGCAAGAGAACATATGCCCATCAAAAGAGAGGCAGTGACTGTCAGCACCCAGGACAGCTCCTCACACACAGTAGGGGCTTCCTACAAACACTGGCTTGCTCAGTCTGACCTTTCTGAAAGTGCCCTAATGTCGAAGCTGTTATCTATGAGCAGCAGCTCAGGGTGAATAAAACCTTTTCCCAAGACTTGAGAGGCACAATATGATCTTGTACAGAAGTGCCTCATCTCAATTTTTCATTTGTAAAGTGGAAAACAATTACACTTATCCTAATTTACTTCCAAAGTGATGTAATAAAGATAAACGACACATGAGTGAAAACTCTGCCACAGTGCACCCAAGAAATCAGGCATACAGCTCTTTAAAGTAAAAATGCCTAATGTGATGTTTGGATGGAGCATATAAGCATTAGGCACTTCACAAATTTTACTCTGTGGCACAAGTTTTATTTCTGGAACATCACATAAAAAAGGCTATTGACTAAAATAAGCTGGATCAATTAACATGAATTTTCTTCTTCCCTTTTATTCTCAAATTTCTGCCAACGAAGCAGATATCAACTAGTGGCTTGGCCACCATCCACAAGGGATTCTGCTCTTCTTGATAGTTCTCGTCCAGTGGAGAACCCAAGCAGGTTCCTTGTCACCTCTTACTGTTACCCAAGGCCAAACCAGAAGCTATCAGGTCAAGTGGAGTCTTCCCGGGAAGTCTGTACTACACTGATCAGTCAGGTTTGGGAAATTGAGGACACAGTCCCAACTCATCTGTCCTGGCACACCTGAAACAAACTCAATATGAAAATCCAGATCTACACAAATGATAAAGGATAGGGCATACAACAGAACTAATCACAACGGTACTCTAGCGCACCAAAAATAAGACTCGCGTTACCTGCTGCTCCAGAGAAACATTCTGAGCCAAAGGGAAGAATGCCTGTACCCTCCAAAACAACAGCGGCTTCTAAACTCACCTATAAGTTGAGCTGGGGTGAGGGGAGCGCATCAGGGAACAATCTAGCATTTTCCTCCAACAGGGCTGAGTTGCAAAGCTCAAAGCTAGGCTATCCAAGCCCCTGGGCCACATTTGGCCAGGTCTTTACCTAACTGCATTGTGCTGCATCTAGAGATTTGAGAAGAGGTCCCAGCCCAGAATGTAGCTGTTCTCAGCTTTGGTGTGCCTGATATCTGACTATAAGTTCTCCTACAAGCCAAAAAACTGTTTCCTTCCTGCTTTCTGCATGACTGGCTTCAGTATTGAGCCATTTGAGGCAATCTTATAAGCATACCTCTTTACGCAAAGGGTTGTCAGTGAATGTTTATTTCCATCAGCCAATTGCATGACCCACCGGATCACTATATCTCAAAATGTGGTCCGTGGACCTTCAGCATCACAATCCCCCAGGATGTGTGTTACCAAGTCTGAGTCCTAGGCCCACTCAGTCAGAAACTCTAGGAGTACAACCCGGAGCTGACAATTTAAATGAGCTTCCCTGCCCCTCAGATGATCCCAGGTACACAAAGCTTGAGCACTGATAACACTACTCAGATAAATCCTCTGAGAGCAGGGGCCATGCCTTGCTCGTGGATGTTCCCACAGAATCTAGCAGGATGCCAAGAACACAGAGAAACTCATGAGTAATTGTTAATTAGCCAGGTACTTATTTTTGAGGAACTCTCGCCGCTATTTGCTCAGGTAAGTCCTCAGCAACGTAGCCAATATTTATTGGGCACTCTTTCTGTGTCAAGCACTATAACAGGACCTTTTACATACTCAGTCCCACTGCACCCCACAGCCCTCGGAAAGATCCATGTGTCCCCATTTTGTGACTCACACTGAGCTTCTTTCAGATTCTCTCAATTCCCAGGGCTCCTAGGAGAGAATAGACTGAGTACTCTGACTCAGCTTTTTCTCTAAATGCACTTGGGCTTTCCCAGCTATGATGGGGACTTATCTCTCACAGGACTGGATCCAAGGTGTCAGGTACTTTAACTTCCCATGACCACTGGGGCCACTGTTTTGCCACAAAGGCCCCTGTGAGCCACCACTCAGGGGCCCCAGCAATTTTCTGCCTTTCGAGGAAACAGTCCTAACATTTGTACAAGGCTTTTATATCCCTTTGTGCAATTAAACTTGACTCTTTTTTTTTTTTTAACCCAGTCTCTGCCATTGCTGTATTTAAAAGAGAGTCTGTTTACTTGCTAAATCAACAAGAGTGAATCTTTTCCTCCCCTGGAATCCCCCTGCTCCCTACTGAAGAAACTGCTGCTGGCTTTTCCACACAATTCTTTAGCTTTCCTTAGCTCTCAACATTACATTTGCTTGGCCTACAAAGAGTATAACTAACCAAAGGAAAAGCCACAGAGGTTTTCACTGAAGGAAAACAAAGTTCTTTCAGGAAGGTGTGCATTCCAAACAGGACAGAGAGGAAGAGGGACTTAGACTTGTGAACAGCCGTGAGAGTCCAGAGACACACACGGGAGGCATGCACTCTAGTGGAAGCAAACACGATCCCAGTCATCTCACAAGCACAGTGGCAGCCAACACTTCCCTCAGAACTTAGTACTTCAGTGAGAAAGGGGTTTTTTACTGCTGGGAGCAGACATTCAGGAAAGCCATGAGGAAGGGATTCCAGCAAGCTTACGGTACTTGAAACAGCTCCCGTGAGGTCAGGCTCCGAGACTCTGTGGAGGCCCTCCGGTACTGGAGGGACCAGCGGAGGTGGTGGTGAGAAGGATGGTGGTGTCTGGCTAACGGGGGGGAAGGAGCCAGGAGTGCTGGCTGGCTGGCTGTGGTGGGGCCGCCTCTGCAGACGAGGGGGAATGAAATCATCTAGAGTCGGCAAGGTCAGAGGTGAGCCGGCAGGGGCGGTCGCCGGGACTGGGGGGCCAAGTGGCCCCAGAGATGCTGGAGGTCTGGTAGTGCCTTCTTGCCCTCTGTCAGTATTAACCAGGTAGAGAGGGACAACTATTACCTCAGGCTGGGCTGGGCTGGAGGAAGTGGCATCCTGTAGGAAATAAGGGGGTTATTACGTAAAGGGGTACGGCAGGGAAGAAGGAATTCCATATTTAAACAGTTGAGAGCGGACATGCAATGATGTACTCTGAGAAATATTTAATCGGTGCCCTTTCCTCAGAGTACATGAGACAGTCGGTGCTAGCCAGTTGGCCTGCTGACACTCTATGACACAGAGGGAACTCCATCCAAGTTTACTTTCCATCCATCTATTTTTGAATCCTTTTAACACTTTAGAGAGAGAAAAAGAGAGAATAACAGAACAGGCAGGCAGGCTGTGCTTAGCCCCAAAACCACTTGCAGAGCCTGAAAGCTTGGGAGTAAATACAATTTCTTTGGCGCTTTGCTATAAAACAAACACTCCGTACCTCACCATATCATTAGTCTACGGATTCCACACTCTGACATACTTACATGTTTACAGAAAAGAGAGAGAGGGAGACACAGAGAAGACTGTGCTGAGATGTTTAGAGAGAAGAATTCGGGATTCTAGCTGCAGCAGTATTAATAAGGAAAGAGAAGGTAGGGCAGCCCAGAAAATAAATGAGCTACTAGCATGAGTTTCAAAAGAGACGGTGTAGAAGACAGACAAACATTCCTATTTCCTTGCCTTGGCTGGATAACACGGCTGGAAAAGGTAAGGTTCTTTTCTCTTCCGGTTTTCGGGATCAGAGGTAACCTGGGGGCCTAGCACAGGTGGTCTCACTGCGTCTGGGAACGAAGGCCGAGTCCCCAGGGAAGGACTCTCACCATCTTTACGGATGTCAAAGAATAGCTTGGGAGGGTCAGGAGGAGGAACAGAGAGTGGCTTTCCCTTGCCGGCTGTGCGGGAGACAATGCTGGGAGCCGGTGCTCGAGTGGCTGCAGCTTCAGAGGGAGTGCCTTTGGCTGGATCACGTGCAACACAAGAGGAGTTTTCCAATGCCACCAGGCGAATGTTATTGGATAAACAAGGTACATATAAGCTGCTGACCTTTTTTTTCCCAACCACCTCATGACGTGGGTTAGAGCTCACATTCTCACTATAAACTGTCCTGCTGGCTACATAGTGATGCTGAGGTTGGGATGAAGCACCAGGGAATGTGGAACCGAGAAGCGAGGGCCCAGGACGCATCACACCCTTGGGAGCTGATCTGGCTGCCAGAGGGGCAGAGACAGGCCGGGGTCGTGAGGGATTCTGCTGGCTGGGGGTGCCGGGTGGGACATAAGGCTTTGGTGAGCTCCGGTAGAGGGAGTCCTTATAGGGACCACAGATGGCGGGGGGCTGCCATGCAAAGCAGTCCTCTTTAGGGAGAAGTGGGTGTAGGGGAGAGAGAATCTTTAGAGTTATTTTCAAGGCACAATATCAAAATGGAAAAAAAGAAAGAGGTGGGAAAATGGAAAGAAGGACGACCATTAGAAATAGCAGTGTAACATGATCTGAAGAAAAAAAACAATTCTTGACATGTTTTTAAGCAAATCCTCAGCTTAGACTCCTCATGGAGTCTACATTTCTCTTCGGTGTAAAGCCAAGGACTGTATCATACTCACCTGGGAAGGTAGGACAGACTCTCCCCTACATCCAAGGAGGCTGAGCTCAGCTCAGGAGAGGCCACGTGCTAAGTCAATTTTGATACCAATCCTTGGTAGACCTGCACCCTTTTTAGACTTCCTGACTGAAGAAGGGTGCCCAAGGACCAAATGCCAGTGGAAACAGCCCTAGAGCACCAATTTTCTCATATCTGCTTTCCTCAAAGATTTTTCTCTTTAAGTTTTCAGCTTTAAAAGTTCACTGAAACTCTTGAATGTCTTTCATTGTCTTCCCTTAGGAAATGGAGAATTGGAGGAATCATCCTTATGCGTGTTTACAGGAGACAGATGTCTTAATTGAATCACTGAGATTTAGCACTCACTTCTATAAGCATAAATTAAAGCTCACCAAGAAGAGAATGCTAAAGACTTAGAATCCACACGTGCTCTTTTCTCAGAGGAAACAATTTAATGGAACTAATTATTAGAAGGAAGACAGGCATGAGATTAAAAGCATGTAGTCTCCTATTTTTGATGCACACAGAACAAACGTATCAGGCAATGAAGCACTTGATTGGCCTATCGGCTTGGACTGTGTCTGGTTTATCAAATTCCAGCCCCTTCCTCTTTCCCACCCAGCCCACCACAGGGCACAGAGAATCCTAGAGGGGAGTGATCAGCCTCAGGCTCCTGGCTTAAGCCCAAAGCTCTAGTTCCAGGTTCAGAGCCAGAAAGCTGTAATTCACATCTCATTCCCTCTCCCTCAACAGGGCTCCTAGCTCCTCCTTGAGTCTCAGAGGGGCAGAGGGCAGGAGATGGGGTAAATCTCTAGGCTGATCCTCATTTCAGTGAGAGCCGTCTGTCAACCTGTGGCTGAATGGGGAATCAGACCATAAGATGAGGAAAATAAAGTTTATTTTCCTAGTGTTATAGACTGAATGTGTGTCCCCCAAAATTCATATCTTGAACCTCTAACCCCAAGTAATGGTATTTGGACGTGGAGCCCTCAGGAGGTGATTTGGGTTAGATGAGGTCCTGAGGGTGGGGTCTCTATGCTGGGATTAGTGTCCTCATAAGAAGACGTAGAGAGACCAGAGCTCTCACTTTCCACCAGGTGAGGACAGAGTGCAGAGGTGGCCGTCTACATGCCAGAAAGAGAGCTCTCACCAGGAAGTGAATTGGCTGGCACCTTGATCTTGGACTTCCCAGCCTCCAGAACTGTGAGAAATAAATGTCTGTTGTTTAATTACACCTGTAATATGGCTTACTTTGTTAAAGTAGGTAAAGCTAAGACACCTAGACTTCCTTCACTGGCCCCTATCTTCAAAGAAAGCCCAGTACTGGAAGAAAACCAGAACCTTCCTCCAAATTGCACAGGTAAGGTATACTAGAGTTTGGGCAATATCTGGTAAATAAGCTGTGATCAAAAACTAGGAGGGTACAAGGGTAGGGGTCTACTTTGGAGTTGTTTTTTATTTTATTTTGTGTGCTGTTTGGGTAGCAACTTTCCCTTCTGGAAAGGGATGTTAGCAAGGGTGAATAGGTGACAAATAAAAAAGTTTTATGAGTCTGGATTAGAGTATCAACCCAGAAATAGTAAGTAACCTGTCCCTTAACAAACTCAGTTTTCAAGTAACAAATGACCTGGATGAAGGAGAAACTATCTGGGTATCCTAGGCTACCTCGATGTCATGGGCACAGGGTGCCCAGGATGGTACGAGTGGAATGTGGCCTTATGTACCAGCCAGAAACACAGATGAAGAGCCTCTCTTCAGGAGTCAGCAGGACCAAACCTTCCAGATGTACTCACTTGGTTTCAGTGAAGTTAGGCTGGAGGTTGGGGCATGTTTACAGACTAAACGACGCTCTCTAGAAACAAAATGTTTGAACTAGCACGCACTAAACGGGGTAAGTTGATAATGGTTGTCAGGGAGGTAAGTAAAAGACAATTTTGAATTAGACTCTGGCGTACTTTTACTTTGAACTCAAGTGTCCCACATGTGATTCCTTCTTGTCCAAAGATAGAATAGAAATCGGTTTCGATGAGTTTTTAACTTAATTTGGCCATGGCCATATATGGTGCCAGGGCTGCATTACATCAGGCACAAGCCTTCCCAGGGCTTTGACCCTGTAGAGAGGACACTTCCCCAGAGTGTTGACAATGCACTCAGAGCCAAAGGCCTTCCTGTCCTGGGGCTTCTTTTAGCCCTAAAGAAGGAAGGGGACAGGCACAGTCACTTTATGTGGAAGGAACTACTTTCTGCTTTATTGTAAACACTGTAGGAACTACACAGGCAGTTGGCATTCCTCCCCAGCTGGCCACTAATGAAATTCTATTTCTCTTTTTAGAAGGCGGGGCAGTGAAAATATGGGGCTGCTTGAAGAATCTGATATGTTCCTAGTTTATACAGTTCCAGAAACTGGCAGTCCTCACCTCTGCTGGGACCACCATGATGATGCTGTCAGAGAGAGGGAAGCCCTGGTTCTGTTACTGGGGATGAAGAGAGCAGGGCAGAAGGTCCAGGCTGGCAGGAGAAAAGGCAGCCTATGGGAGATCAGGAGAAAGGATTCCTCTCTGGCGCTTGAGTTTCCTGGACCCCAACTCAGTCCTTCTGAGAAAATGCTAGGCCTGCAGGGGTCTGAGAGTTTTCTTCAGCTGACATCAAGCCAGGGCAATCCCCAGCCCAGCCAGCCTTGGCTTTGTCTAAGCCAATGTGTACTGACAGTTCTGGCAACAGCTATATAGACATTTTTGCTCTCAAAAAACAAATCCAAAAGGTAATGCATGACCTAAAAGTTCTTGAAATTTGGATGGCCAATTTTACACTGAATATACAGAACAAAACCTCTATCTCAGCAATTTACCAGGTTCCCTTTAAGATGCCCCAGCAAAAGGAAAATTCTTGGATAGTGACAGATAAGAAAATACACTATTCATAGAAGATATTACAGGATGCTCACCCTTATTATGAGGCTCACCCTTATAAACTCCTTGAGGGCAATGTTTAACACCGTGATCTGAACACAAGAAACGCTCAATAAAGCTATGGTAAATAAATGTGTTTAAAATGAATTTTTATTTACTTTGCATACTCTTAAAACGATCTCTTTAGAGCTGTTTACAAAGCCAGAAGAAATTAGTGAATTATCCTTTGGGCTAAGCCACTGATAGTGGAAGAGGATGTGGTTCTACACTTGCCTTGATGATCAGCACTACTTCCTATCAGCACAGAGCCAAACACATCTGTTCTTGAGATGGCTGGGAAGGAAGTGTGCCACAGACAGTGCACGAGCACACTGGGAAAGGTCTTAGAAATGGGAAAACTATGGGAAGTCATTTTCTGGACAACTGACCTCCCAAGTCCCCACATCTAAGGAGGACTTCAGGAAGCCGGACACACTTGTAGCTCCTGGTTCTGATCAGTGGCCCTGTATGCACACGACTGTACCTAGGGGAGGCAAGCTGTGGCAGGGGCGGAAAGCTTAGTGGTGCTGCTCAGCACACAAGGCAGATGATTCAGCAACCACTTCCAACCCTGAGAGGACAAGGGTCTGCAGAGACGAAAGAAGACATCATCTGACTCGGTTTCATTTCAGGAGCCAGCACAATTTTATGTCCTCAGCAGCCAGACGATCATCAAAGAAGGGGGGTGGGAACCAGGAAGGCATACGGAATCCCTGGGTTCCTCGTGAGCTCCGGGAGCACTTTCACAGAAGGCAGGCACAGGGAAATGGACCACACAAGGAATGCATTTTTGCCACATATTTCGAGCAGCACAGCTTCCTTTAAGAAAAGACTGCTCCATTCCACAGATGTGGCTCCTCTACGTAAAAATACTCTTCCCAGATTGCCTGAATCAAAACAGGGTCTATTCTTTTCAGCAAAATGGCAAAGTAGCAACAGGGAGGGGAAGGAAGAAGGATCAGGAAAACAACCTAGGGGGATCCCGACTCCAACTGTACAACTTGGGGGGACCTTCTTTTGTAGGGTAAAGGAAGGTGGTTTAAGCTCTGCTGTACTGCCATTCCAACTTCTAGCTGCCTGCTCCTGGGCCATGGGATTAGGGTCCAGCCACAGCTACCTGATTGATAAGGACAGAGTTGCTGGAACTCGTACAGCCCAAGTGCAGCAAATTAATGGAATAAACACAACAGCACACTCTTCTCTTGAATGCTACACTCTAAAGAGTTTTTAACCAACAGGCTCAGAACTTTTTCCCACTTATTCAAGGCTAAATGGATTCCCTCTTTCAGAACACTGCCACATGCATTTCAAACCTAGAAAACATCAGTCCTATATTTCCAGTGCCCTGGTACAGACCAACCTCATCCCACACTTCTGCTTCCCTTGACCCAAACTTCTCCCTAACTCTGGTCCTTGTAGAGCTTTTCCACAGTGGGCCAAACGTGCGACTCTGAACCTAGTCCATTATCCAGCTGAGCAAGCTGGACATCACCCATTGAAGCTAAAAGACTCAGAAACAGGCACCACTCACCAGCCCCCATGCCACCCTTGGGCACATGCCTACCTGGGGCTTGTCGGAAGGAAGGTTGGGATGCACACTTCTGTAGCCCTTGGCAGCAAGTGAAGAGGGTTGGGCGTTTCCATTGGCATCAGCGTTAGAAGAAAGCCTCCATTCATCTGAGAGATGGAAAAAAGAAAGAGAAACTCCTCACTCACAGGGAACACTCCTTGGTCCCCCTCTGGTTTAATAAGGGTCCCTGGTGGAAGGAAGGGACAAGAAGAACTCAAGAGAAACCATACCTGCTGAGGAATTCTCTGACTCCAGAACTACGTGTGGTGCAGAAAGGATGAAAACAAGAAGAGGGGCAAGCAGAAATGGTTACATTGGCAGCAAACAAGCATGTACTGCAATAGAAAGACAAAAATCCAGCACCCCATTGCCTGACACAAAATACCCTCAGTCACGATGGCCTAATTACCATAGGAACCCACTCTAAACCATGATGTGCTCACAGGCACTGACCTTTGAAAACACAAGGCTCACATTCACAGTAATGAAGAAACAATTGTTCCTTGACATTCTTATTTTACAGACAAAAAGGCAACAGAACTCTACTGTCCAGTCCCTTCTCACTAACTCTCATTTCTCTTCTTCGAGCCTGATGTGGGCTCAGAACGACCTCTCCTCATTAGTAGCCTGGGCTAATTAACAGACCGGGAGAGGGAGAAGTAGATAAGCACTTTTTCCGTGGCTGTTGGTGCTGGGCTAGGGGGGAGAACGTGATTTAAGCCCAGAGGTATCTGCTGTGATAAGGACTTTTTTTCTCCCTGCCTGCTTTTCTTCTTTCCATTAAACATGCCACATAAACATTTCAAAATCTAATCACCCTTTCTGCATTTTCATCACACGACAAGGCACGCTTGTCCTTCAGCCAGCTATCACCCTGCCCTCCCAGCCATCACCTGACATATCTGAGACCCCGAACCTCCCCTAACTTGACCCACCTGGCACCATGAGGCAACAGAGCACAGTGGTTACAAGCTCAGCTGGGAAGGCAGCTGGATCTCAACTCAAACCCTGGCTCTACCACCGAATGAGCTCTGTGACCCTGAGCAAGTTATAAGCCTCGGTTTTCCAGTCGAAAGTGGGGATAATGATATGCCTGGTTCATAAGTGTTATAAGAATTAAGTGATATAAAGCATGAGAAATGCTTAGCACGGTGCCTGGCAGAGCTCAGGAAATGTTTGCTATTTGTCATCATCTTCTGCATCATCTCTTGTTTCCATTCTCTATCCTTCACCTAGCCCAGGGGTTGGCAAACTTCTTCTACAAAGGGCCAAATAGTAAATATTTTAGGCTCTGCAGGCCACACGGTCTCAGTTGAAACTATTCAAATCTGCTGTTGTAGCACAAAAGCAGATATAGACAAAATGTAAATGAATGAGCATGGCTATGTTCCAAAAAACCTTTATTTATGGACGCTAAAATTTGAATTTCATATAATTTTCAGGTGGCATACAATATTATTCTTTTGATTTCTTTTTCAACCCTTTAAAAATATAAAAACTACTCTTAGCTCATGGGCTGTACCAAAATAGGTATGGGCCAGATCTGGCCCACAACCCTTCGTTGGCCAACCCATGATCTAGCCAATCCCTTAACTTGCTTCTTTTCCCTGGCTGCCTACTCTTGCCTTACCCTATATAGAGCTAAAGAGGGGGATAATATTCCAGCTCTCACAGCCCAAGCCTCCATTTCTATGTAGGTCCCTCAAGGACTAGAGGTGGGTTTTCCAGATGTCAAGTTTCCAGATGTCAGTGTCAAGTTAAACACCTTTCTAAGCGCTAGACATTGTTAGTCACTTTTGCATCATTTTAGTATTTAACTTAGCGTACACACAAGTTTGTGAAGTAGGTAATCAAAACTTCATGGATGAGGAACAGAAAAGCCAACTGACTTGCCCAAAGTCATACAGCCAGGAAATGACACAGCAGTCAGCCAAGCTCTCCAGAATGAAGTACAGTGCTCTGTGTACCACCCACAGCCACCAGCCCCACACCAGCCACAAAGTAGAGCCTACATTCCAGGGAGGTGCTGGAAGCCAAAAGATGCTGGAGCAAAATGCAAGGCAGAGGAAAAGGTTTTGAGAGATTGGCATCCATGTATAGCAGTTTAGCTGCATCAGAATCACAAGGACAGCTTGGTAAAACTCAGACTACTGGGCCCATCCCCAGAGTTTCTGCCTTCGCAGGCGGGAGGTGAGGCCCAAGAATCTGCATTTCTAACATGATCCTAGGAGATGCGAAGGCTGATGGTCCACAGCCCACACTTGGAAAACTACTGATATAAGGTATACTTAAAAACATCCTTATTCTGGAAAACTAACTGTATCCGGTTTTGCTTATTTTTTCCCCCTCTAAGCCAGAGCACGTATAACATGTTTCAGTTGTATAGTCCTTTAGCAGGTTGCCCGTTACCTATGAATTATCCACAATGCAGTGACAGAAACATATTTGTCTTCTCTTCCCAACCACATAGTTGGGAAATTTACAAGACTTGAATTTTACTTCCATTACTGCAACGCACTGGCTTGTGTGACCAAAGGCAAGCTGTTAGTCACTCTAAACTTCATTTTTCTCATCTATAAAATATAATCCTTACCCAATGGACACCTCACAGGGTTGCTGAAGATCCAGAGATCAGGTGTGTTAAGTATCCTAAAAGCAACCATTTTTAACACCGATGGCTGTATCCATCCAGATCCCTAGCCCAGAGATTTCTTTGTACCCAGCAGGCCCTCAAGCACCAGGTGACACATTGTGACAATGATTCTCCCTCCTCCCCTGCATCTATCACTTTTCTTATCCCATCTTCCTCTCTAAGTTATTTCTTTTTTTTTTTTTTTTTTTTTTTAAAGATTTTATTTTTTCCTTTTTCTCCCCAAAGCCCCCCGGTACATAGTTGTGTATTCTTCATTGTGGGTTCTTCTAGTTGTGGCATGTGGGACGCTGCCTCAGCGTGGTCTGACGAGCAGTGCCATGTCCGCGCCCAGGATTCGAACTAACGAAACACTGGGCCGCCTGCTACGGAGTGCGCGAACTTAACCACTCGGCCACGGGGCCAGCCCCCTCTCTAAGTTATTTCTAGTCCACCTCTGTCAAGTCATTCTATCAAATTTACTAGATTTACACCTACACTAAATATCAATAGGTTCTGAACAAAGGGCTATCAATAAAGGATACAAACTTTGTACATGGATTTGCAGACACTTTATTTTGCCTCCTCTTTGGTTCACAGTTGGGTTGGTTCTACTCAGGTGACACTGACAAACAAACGTGTCATGGAAAGTTGAGATGTATCTGTCCCTGCAAACCTCTAGGTATCATAAAGGGACTACCATTTTGGCATCAGACTGCCTAATTTGAGTCCTTGATAACTGCACGTCCTGCAGCAAGCGACTTGGCCTCATCTATGAAATGAGATACTGTGTACCTCTTTTGAGTCATAAGGACTAGATGGAAGTATCTGGCATAAAGTGTGTGCTTAGTAAAATCAGAATCCACAGCATAAGGGAAAAAATTTCCCCAGACAGAAATAAGAGTTGTTGACTTCTTCCATTTGATAAATAGCCTCAAGAACATAATATCCTTGGGGATCAACCTACTTTTACTTCTCATTCCAAGTCATTAAAACTGTTCCCCTTATCCTTCCCCAAAAAAGGCAGTTCCCAGGACCTCTCTCAGCATGCCTCTCTTCCTTGTTAAAGGAGAGCTGCATTTCCGACATTCTATTATCCTTCATCTCTTACCTAGTCTTCTGAACCTTGAAGGTTGGGAGCAGCCCAAGGCCATCTGTGCCTGAGTGCAGCAGGTGAAATTTTATATACATAATCATCAATTATTAACTCTTGGTCGAGGAGACTGTCAAATGCTTCTTTCAATAAATGTTACTTCAGAGCTTGTGAGGGGGGAGGAAGGCCTTGGAAAGTTGGATCCTAGACAGGTTTTGCAGCCCTGAAGAGACCGAGCTTTTCCATAGCATAATTTACTTTGCCTTATCTTTTCCTCCATCTGTTCTTTACATACAAATCTTTTCTGGCCTGTGGCCACAGCCTCCTGATATTTTCTTTTATCTCATTCTGTACTAATTTCATTTTGGTCTATTCCAAAGTTGTTTTGCTGATCAGTTCTTCCTGTGATCTTAGGATAACTTTCATTGAGTCAGATTTGATGTATTCTGATAAAGTAAGCAAGAGTTAGAAGAGAGGTGTTAAAAGTGGGTCTAAGTGTTCCAGATCTTATTTGTGTTTTTTATTCATGCTGTGTGGTAAAGAATTTAACCTTACCTAAAAAAGTTGTCTGGCCTCTGCCATCTGGCTTCTGGGAGTTAATCTCTAAAAGCCCTTGGAATGTCACCATGATTGGAGTGTCTTTATGCCACACCAATAATGTGATTTAGGTTAGGGACTTTGAGCCATCAAGAGCTCAACCACCTAATGGACTGGTGAGTGCCATCTGTGCCACATGGGCAGTGGATAATGCTTATGTAATGCAGCCCCAACAAAAACTCTGGACACAACAGCTCAGGTGAAATCCCTGGTTGGCAATACTGAGCATACTGTCACACCTCAATGCTGGGAACTAACACATCCTGGCTCCACAGAAGAGGACAACAGAAGCTCCATGCTTGGTTCTTCTCCAGACTCCACCCTATGTGCTGCTTCTTCCAACTGATTTTAATCGCATCCTCTCCCTGTAATAAACTATAACTGTGATTATAACAGCTTTCCATGAGTTCTGTGAGTCCTTCTAGCAAATTATCGAAACTAAGAGTGGTTTTTGGGATCCCCTGAACTTGCAGTTGGTGTCAGAAGTGAGGGTGTTCTCTTGTGGGGACTTTTCCCCCTCAGTTTCTTGGTTGGCCCTAATTCTCACACATGAGCTCATAAAAAGGACTCAATTAACAGGGGTAGGAAGTGTGTTTAACTGCTTCAAGGTCAATTTTATGATTTTTTTTTTGCTATTGCCATCTCTGGAGAACAAATGTGAGGAAATGA